CTGTTTTCCTCCAAAGGTTCTCCATCGTTACTCTACCATCTTGTAGCATTCACAAATCAAGAAAGACTTTCCTTTGGGTTTATAAGTACAGCTACTTCAGATGGCGAAATTTTGAGAAGAAAGTTCAAAGCTCAGGCCAATGTTCCAACAGTGATGATTTTCAAAGAAGAAAAGTCGGTGCCTGAAGTTGTTGTGATGGTGGGTTTGTTTTTCGCTCAAAAATTGCCATTAAAAACTCAGTACTATTAAGTAAAAGCCGTTACATAGCTAGCAGTTAAATTTGGAATTTGTTGTCGCCAATGATCCAAAGCTACACTCTTCTCTCGTTACTTTAGCCTTTCCTCTCACCATTTGCGGAGTTGATAGTTTTAATTTCTTATTAGTATTTATTTATGGTGTCAATGTTATCTCGGGATTTTTTTTCCAGGGATCTGAGTTGAAGAGTGGAAAACTACGCGAGGTGGTTGAAGCGAACAGATTCCTCATCCTTCCTCGGCTCTCCAGCCAAAAGGTGTTTAACGAGCTCTGTCCTGAGGAGAGATTTAGATCACAGCGAAAGTGCGTATTAGTGCTTTAATTAGTAATGTTACCTTTGGATTGGTTGTTAATTTACCGCACTGACAGCGTTGTTATGTCAGGATTCTCTAGGATTTAGGACTTTGGTGATCGGGTAGAGCGATAGTAACGTGAGATCAAAGTCTCAAAACCCATGTTTTGTTGTTGGTGTTAGATGTTGTTAATCTGTAGTTATTGGTGGTGATGGAGGTATGTTGTTGCTGTTGTTGTTTATTTGTTGTTGTTGGTGGTGGTGGTGGTGATGGTGATGGAGGTGTTGTTGTTGCTAGGTGTTTTTTTGTTTGTTGGTTTGTTGTTGCTGTTGGTAGTGGTGATGGCCGGTGTCGTCGTTGTTGTTGTTAGGTTTCTTTGTTGTTGTTGTTGTTGTTGTTGTTGTTGTTTTTGATGGTGGTGGTGATGGAGGTTTTGTTGTTGCTGTTGTTTTAAGGCTGAGTTACACAGATACAAGGGCTATCACTATTACATGAAATTTCCGAAAACGATAACCTTTCTCAGATACATGTATGTTTAAAAAGAAAGAGTCATCCTTAATTCAAAACCCTCTTTCTTCAGACTTTGTGTGGTGCTATTTACAAAGAAAGGTGAACACGAGCAAGAGAAAGCTAAACTAAGACTATTAGCTCAACAAGACATCTTCCCCTCCGAGCGCGTCCATTTTACGTATATTTACGAAGATATTCAAACCCGTGTAGCGACGGCCATCAGACAGGGTTTGCCAACAACAACTAACAACAATGTCACAGTATTGAAGGTGAGTCT